GTGGCCTTAAGCTGCATTATTTCTGGCAGTCTGTAAAGGCCCATAGTCTGCTTCAGCCTAAAAAGGATAAAAGTAATCTTGTTAACAAAAGCCTACGACTTCACAAATCCTGTTAACACCTTTGAGACCAAATTTTGTGAGCTGCATAGATGGGGTTGGATGTTCAGTCAATGTATATAGAAGTAAAAGGTAAAGGAGGAACCTAATACAATTAGAGAGATGCAAATTGGGATCCAGGACAATAACCTTAAGGGGCTATGCAACAGAAGATCTGGCAAGCAAGACATCTGGTGCCTTGGGCTGTGAAAGCCACACTTAAAGTAAAACAATACTTGAGTGAATACAATGCAATGATTAATTAAACAATACTAAATGATTAGTATGCAATGCATAGTTAAACTAATACTAAAACAATATCTGAGGTAATGCGTTAAGAAAGGTGTGAAACTTCTTTCTGGAATGTGTCCTTTCTAATCAATTATTTGTAAATGAGCATTGTGGAAGATCCAAATATTAAAATAAATAGAATGCCAAGAACCTGTTCTTTCTGTACACACAACTGCTGATCCTTGGAATTTGTGAATATAGGGGTGAAACAGACCACCCCTTTGTGTCATCTTCCAGGCAGCTTGGGAGCATAGCATTTACATGCCATGCACTCCCAAGCTGGCCAGAAGATGCCTGGAAGTCACCTGGCTATTTACATGGGGGTGGCTTCATGACACTCTGGCAGTGTGACATTTACACGCCGTACTCTGCCGAAACATCATGAAGCCAGCTTCCAGCCATAGTGCAGGCAGCAAAGTCAGCTTTTTGGTGCCAGAAAAAAGAGCAGCTGTTTGCCACTCCTTTTTTGGGCAGCTTCAAGGTGGGTTGAGGCTGTGGTGTGCAGTTGCCATGGCCCCAATCTGGCTTCAGAAGGGGTGGCTTGAAGCCACCCCTTCTGGTTGTCTATTTCACCCCATAGTTTTCTATTTTCAATCTTTCCTTTAAATTTCTTTGATTGAGAACAGCTACTTGGAGGTTTTTAATAGTTTTTTCAGAAGATTAAAATGCATTGATACTGTTTTTCTGAGTCCCGTTTATCTTTTTTCATAGAGAATGCCCTGTTTGTCAAATGTAAAGAAGAAGAGGGCATGATTGATAGAGAATGGCATAGATTACGTGATAGGTAAATGCAGTTAATGCAGACCTGATGTTAAGGGTAAGTTTATTAGTGCTTATAAAGTTGCTGGCAGAGAAGACATGGAAAAATGAAATACTGCAGCTGCAAAACTGATCTTGTACCTGCCACAACTATCCACTCCAGCTATGGAATATCATTTTGACCATAGTGTGGATAGAACCCACAACTAGCTGTACTGTTAAAACCATTTAATCTGATCCAATTAGCTATATGCAGCTTCACTCCATGGATACACTCAATACACTGCAGTGACACAATGCATGGGTGTGTATGCCTTTGGTCTTCATCCTGAGCAAATTGGTATGTATAAGAGAATGTGAATGTGGCACTAGATTTCTTTGCTATTTTTAATAACTGTGAAATCTTATTACATGCACTTGAATTCCCATGCTGAGAGCAAATTTTGAAAATGACACCATACTAAGACCAGGATGTGTTGAGGCCTCAATTAGCTCAAATTTAAAATGCACCTTAGCATAATGCACGTGACTCACAAGTGTATTATTCTAACAATTATAGAAAACTTGAAATTCGGGATTTTGTTTTTAATTTTTTAGCAGCTGTTTATAATCTTAGCTCCTAAACTGGAGTAGACTTAGCTTGTATCTTCTGTACTTAGGGGGGAAGCAGACGGGCGGCCATGGGCCGCCCCGGAAAGCTGCACCGCTGGACCGAGGTATCACCACACCTCAGCCCCGCAGCGCACCTTCACCACCCCTGGAAAGGAGCGCTAAATTGGCACTCCTTTCACAAGTCGCCGAAGGTGCGCCGCAAAAGCTTGTGGCGCACCTTCGGCAAATCTTCCGCTGCAGCATGTATGGACGCTGTAGCGGGAGGTCCTCCTTGGAGTGCCAGCCATGCGGAGAGCTTGCTGCTCCGAGGACAACCTGGGGAAGGGGTTGGGGTGCCGATCGTGCGGCTGCCCCCCTTCCCTGCCCCCAAAACGGCCCAATTGGCCATCTGCTTAGCCCCATAGTTGTATCTTAACTCAGCATTGACCAGTACAGAGCTATATCTAGATGATTTGATGCTTGTGACCTCACAATGCTTTTTGTCTCATTCTTCATTTGTCCTCCAGCTACTAAATAATTTAAAGCAGTGATTCTCAATCTTTAGTCCTCCAGAGGTTAGGACTTCAGCTCTCAAAAGCCAAAACCAACATAGTTAATGGTCAGCGATTGTGGGAGGCCAAGTCCAAATATGTGAAGTACCAAAGGTTGAAAAACACACATTTAAAGTTACAATCTAACTTCATAGCACATTGTAAGTAATTATAACCTAGCTGTGAATATGTAGACATTCATTTGTCATTTTATAAAAGATGGGAGCTATTTTCACATTTCTTTATAAGGCAAAGCAGTTATTAGTTCTTTCAGTGTTACCAGTGCATTTTCCATTTCACACTAGATATTTCATGATTTAAGAAAAGAAACAAACATTCAGTACATTATTCTGTAAATAGTAAGGTTCATAAAGGTCATAATTTTAATCTAAAAATGTATTATTTAAAATGCACCGCTCCCTATCCCCTTTCTCTCATCTAAAACTTTAAATAGCAGTTGAATAGAGAAGGTAAGCAATGAAGTTAATAACACTGTGAAATGAGATAGAGTTAAGTCATAGCACAATATCACATAGGCCACAATGCTACTCATTTTGCCACAGGCCAAGAAGCAAAGATAGATACATGTCTATGGTTGAGCAGCCTGGGCAGCAGCTGGCAGAAAAGGATTCTAAAAGCTATTCCCACAAGGTTCATAATTGATTCCCCTCTGACTGATGAATCTGAGAAAGTTGATATAGTAAAGTTCTAGTGAATGTTTGTAATCAATGCCTGTGGGGGAAATGTATGTGCCACATACCATCTACTTTCTAGATGAAGTTTTCAAATAGCATTCTATGCCTAGGTTGGTTTATGATAGGGGTAGGCAACCTTTTTGAGCCGGGGCCCGGGTTGCTGTCCCTCAGGCAATTGGGAGGACAAAGCACCAAAAATAAATAAATAAATAAATAAATAAATAAATAAATAAATTTGTTTGATTTTTTTTACATTTTTTTTAAAAAAAATATGCATGCACACTCTCTCAGCCCCAGAAAAGCCATGGCAAAACCCCTGTGGAGATTTTGCCAAGAAAACCCCAAGAACAAGTAATAACAACAATAATCAATATCATCATGGTGGGGGGCAGCGTTGGTGGGGGGCGGCGACAGGACCAGCCTGGGACCGGTCCAAAGGCCTTGGGGGGGCCGCATCCAGCCCCCGGGCCTTAGGTAGCCTACCCCTGGTTTATGACATCTTCTGCTACTGCCGATTTTTTAGCTGGCTCAGTCTGCAGTGTCTCTCATGTTCTTTGATTCATGTTTGAACACTGCATTTAGTGGGCATAGAATGCTATTTGAAAACACTGAAATTCTGGACCATGCCAGCAACTACCAGGTCAGAATGCACAGGGAGGCCATTGAAATCCACAAACACCTGGATTACTTCAACAGGAAAGAAGAAACAGTGCAAGTAAACAAAGTTTGGCTACCATTCCTGAAGAAAACAAAAATTAAGATTTAATACATGCAAATGTACACCACCCAGGGTCAAAGGGGTTCCTTGCAGACAATGGATTGCTAATTAAATATCCATGCTGAGACCTTGCCATTCAGCAACAGACTAACACAGAGATTAACATGTAAATCACTTCGTCCCAACCAAGGGTCACACAAATATATATACCCCACATATTTCCATGTCACCACCCTCTGAAGATGCCACCTACAGATATTGGTCATTTGAGCTAAATAATTCCCCAAACATTTGAAGATGCTGGCACAACATAATGTCTATATGCATATATACAAGTCCCCCCCCACACACACACACCAATTTTTCTTGGTAGGAGATGCTGATGGAAGTTTTTTTAGTCCACAGATAGGTCATTCTTGAGAATCCAAGTTCTTTCTAGATCTTTTAGATAGGTCATATGCATTGAGACATTATCGCCCTCTCCATCCATGTAGTCAACCATAGTCTTCTTCTTTTTCTGCTTTCAGCTACTCTTCATGTCCTGACTGCAAACATGTTAAGTCCTTACTGCACTTCTCTTGAGAGGCTTTCCCAAGGGTGTAGTGGACTTCCTATTTTCTTTATGTCCTCAAAATTCTTACCTTGGAATAACTTAACACTTCAGCTAAGCATTTGGAAATACAGTTTAGGCACCCAAGCTAAAGGGGCAGGCAAAATTACCAAGGGAATGAAACACAGGATATATAGGGGGTTCCACATATGAATGATTTTCCATTTCACTCTATGCAAAACTAGAAACATGGTGTAATAACCTTGCAAGGTTATAAGAAAGGTTAACTCAGGGGAGATGAGTAAGGTCCATGATCTGGGTTAGACAATGAAAGATATGGAAGTGGAGAGATCCAATTGGCTCTAACATGCACAGGGTTCTGTTAGCTAGCCAACGAAGAAGGTGGAAAGTCCTGATTAGCCCCATCTCCCATTTGGGTTCTGTTAGCTAGGAGAAGTTTCTGGATGTTTAGAAGAGAGAGATGTCTGTAAAGTAAACAGGTATAGTAGGCCATCCACATTTGCTGGTATTAGGGGTGTAGGACTCCCATAAAAGTGAGGAAACCTCATATATAAAAAAAACACTATTGTTTTATCCTCACAACTGGAGGGAATTATTTAATGTCTATATGTATATATACAATGGTTTAAAAGAGTGCTATAAGTTATCACAGGCAGGACTGCAAAGCATAATATATACAAAACTATACCTGAAAGACTACTTTATTAACTTCCTGTATTCATACAGGAGCCAGTGTGACATAATGGTTGAGCATTAGACTGTGACTCTGGTGACCAAGGTTTGAATCCCTCCTCAGCCATGGAAATCCTCTGGGTGACCTTGGGCAAGTGACACATACTCAGCCACAGAAAACCTGTGATACATTCATCTTAGGGCCCCTGTAAGTTGAAAATGACTTGAAGGCACACAATAACAATAGCAACAGACAACAACAACAATGCATATTTTGGTAGATAATATAGCACAGGACTTTTAGTGGCTACTTTAACCTTTAACATGGAGCTTGTAGTGCTTCTGCTTAGATTCTGACATTCCCCTGATCAGATATTTGCTTTCTTTAGCTAGAAAAAATAAACAAAACATAAATGGCTGAAAGATTGACAAGAGATAGATAAACAACCAGTTTCCCATGGGATCAAGACTTGTGACTCTTAATGAGCTTACATTTCATGTCTGACAGTCCCCTGGAACTAACACATGGGACTCTTAATGGGCTTAATCCCAAGATGTGTGGCCAAGAAGGTTTGAGAACAAGTTTTATCAGAGGTAACTATTAGTATCATTTTGCTAAGTGCTGATAAAATTATGATATAGTATTTTACTCTATGCTGAGAAAGCTACTAATCAATTATTCATGCCTGTAAGCAATTATGCTACAAATTGGACCTCATATGCCATTGGTGATGTTCAGGCAGGCTGATCTGTCCAAAATGTCTGCCTTTCCAATCCATCTTTATTGTGGGAAATATCTGTATAAGCTGTAAGTATTCACACATATTTTTTTCCTTGTAAGTAAACTTACATCTGACTTATCATTTTCTTGGGACCTCTGAACTTTGGAGATGAGAGTGGGAAAATACACAATAGTAAAACACATGAATAACCCACTGAAAGAGGAGTCCACTGCTAAACATGCAGTTTTCAGATCTGTGAAATGCTTGTCTAAAATGGCCCTAAATATTCATGAATCAAAGCAACTACACTGCACTATGGATGGTTCTCCTCCCCATGATGCTTGAGACAGATCACTTAGAAAAAAATGTGATCACTATCAGCTGACATGACATGAATGCTGTTTTAGACAGTAATAGTGCTAAAGTTATCAGAAGATATCTCTGTTCTGTACAGAATAATGCAGTGTGTCTGTCAGAGGAAAATTGGCCATACCCATAAAAGCAGCAAAATCCATATGTAATTAACAAATGTGTCAGCAAATCGAGGAAGCGTCTAAGCAATGAGAACAAAAGCTCAATCTCACATCCTGTTACTTGAGGACGCATTTAGGTAATTTCAGTGAGAGCCACTGTTATTAATTCGGACATACCTGGCATCATGTATTCTAGAAGCCTACATCATGATATAGGATGTAATATTTTTAGTTTAATCACAATGACACTCTTTGGCAACCCAGATTAATTGAGTGAAGTTAGACATGAGTGAGAATTTAATTCATTTCAAAGTTGATTTTTTAAATAAGAATTTTCTAGAATTCACATATGCCTTCATAAACACAGTAGAACTGTAGAATTCCTCCCCACAAAGAATTTCAGGTTTGTTTGTGTTTTTAAAATGTGAATGATGGATAAATAAAACTGTCAGAACCATCCAACCAGTTAGAGGGCTTTGAATACTTAGCTTTTAAAAATCAGATTGATTATGTTTGTGCTCAGTCATGTTTGTAGTGGTGAATTAGTTCTCTCACCACTTCCATAACAAGTTTTCTTGAATCTCTCATATATATATATCCAATATATACATTGCCACTGGAAAAAGGCTATATTAATGAACTTACAGTTTGTAATCATTTTTTGCTCTTAATGTTAATTGCTAGTAATCTACTATGCCTCCCCCCATTTTTTCACTCTCTTGTTTCTGGTCCAAATCTAATTGCTTATCCCAACTAGATTTGACCCAACAGACTTAATTATTTGTTCATTCATTCATTCATTACATGCACTGCCAACACTTGTGTGAGATCCATTGATTCAGTAGATATATTCAAGCTCAGACCAGCTTTAGGACTTTGTGAAATACATGTACCTAACATTCTGGACAACATCTAATACATCTGACAATGTAAGCCAGGAAAAATCATATAAAAATTGCCAATCCTAATTGTGCTGTGGGACTCTGTTGTTTTTGCTGCATAAAATCAAGATGGCTCATACTTTCAAAATGGGTTTTAGACTGTAACACATGTTATCCTTCATTGCATTCCTATGAAAATGTATTTGTTGTAAACCAGTATTGTATCATTCCAGGTACATCTACATATGATTACTATTTCCTCCTTATTTTCTATGTATTTAACCATCAATCAATCAATCAATTTTTATTTTAATTCAGAATGAGTAGCCTTCAGAGCTAACTTAAATGAAGAGGCAGATATTAAATTCCACACATAAATAAATAAAATCAGGTCACAAGAAACTAGATGTTGCTTACACATTTCCATTTCAAGTTAATATAAACAATGGGACTTTAGGGAACTTGGATTTTTTAAAATGTATTTCCTAGATACGTTTTCTATATTTAGTTGCTTTCACTGAGATTCCTCTGTTCTAAATAATGTGAATAGAAATTTATTTATTTATTTCCCTGCTATGCATTTAGGTCTTTAGAAAACAACATTTCCAAGCAAATCTGCATACCCTCAGTGGTTCAAATTCCAGAGTTCCCAAGAAAACAAGTTTCTGTAGTACTATAGCTATAAATTAAAATCTAGTAATAACAAATCTTTATGGGTGTCTATTTTATGGGACAATTGGTTAGAATATTCAGTCTTTTTTATATTAAAAATAAGAAACTACTCAGATTCACAAAATTCTTCATAAACAAGATAAAAAGGAATTGCCATATATACTCAACTATAAATCAACTTCATGTATAAGTTGAGGGAAGTTCTGAGGGTCAAAATTATGGATTTTGCTATGACTCATGGATAAGTCAAGGGTAAAACTTAGGGGCATACAACAAAGGATGTAAAGGAGGGAGCAAAGGAAAATTATGTCAAAGAACTTACAAAATTCCAACAGGTATAACTGTTAGTACTCGTACTGAAGGATGGACGAGAAGAGAAGAATGACAAATCATGGCTGAGAGATGTATGGGGAAGTGACCAAGCAAAGGTGAGGCTAAGAAAATGCAGACATATCAAGAAATATGAAAAGGCAAACCCAAAAAAATGGTGACTTAGGTCCAAAACATATGATCCAACTAAGGCGGCTTCCAGACACTGTGGGGGCTTGGCTTTCAGATGATACACACCCCCAAAGCAGCCAGAAGCTGCTCCAGTGACACAGTCTGATCCTTTGGACTGGATCAAAAAGGGGGAGATAGCCTTTGCAGACTGCCAGAAATAGTGCACATTAAATGGAGGCACTGCCCTGGCTCAGTGCTAGGGAATCATGGGAACTGTAATTTATTGTGGCACCAGAGCTCTCTGACAGAGAAGGCTCAATGTCTCAGAAAAAAATATAATTCCCATGACTCCCTAGCACTAAGCCAGGGCAGTGCCTCAATTTAATGTGCACTGTTTCTGGCAGTCTGCAAAGGCTCTTCATTTAGCTCCTGCCGGTGCTGGTTTGGGACTGCAGTGGTAGTCCACTTCAGGAGCAGGCTGTGCTGTCACCACAGTCCCAGCCCAATCATGGCCAGGGTGACCTCTGGCCTCTCTTTACCAGCCATGTGCTTCGGCGCTATGTTAGCAGTGATTATAGCCTTTAACTTTAATGTGATAACTTTGCCTGATTTTAACCCAGAAAAGCTGACTCAGGGTCTCTGCAGATTGGCCTAAAGGGCTGGCCTGGAGACAGAGATGGGGTGGGGCAGCTGCATGGCATTTTGCTTCTCTTTTTGGGGTGGCAAAAGGGAGGATCAGGGCTGCAGTGTGGGGTAGCCACAGCCCCGATCCACCACTTCCTGGGGCTGCCCAGAGCCACCCATCTGCACTTCACCAAACATACATAAATGTTTTATTCATATCCTTCAAAGTCCAATTCCTCTCAGCACTCCTTTGAGAGGATAGTGCTAAAGAGCTGCCACCATCACCATTTTCTTGCCCTGGCATTTAAAAAAGTCAGAAATGGTGCCACAGTAGAGAGGGTAGAGTGGGTTCATGCTTCTTTTAGGGGCTTCCTCGATGGACTACATTCTCACTTTTCACCTGTCTATTTAGAGAAGGGGATGGTTCCTTTTTTGATAAGAGTTATACAATATTTACACTGACCTATGAATAAGTCAACTCAGTTTTTTTGAATAAAATTTTGAATAAAATTTCTAGACTTATACATGGGTATATACAATATGTATAAAAATACCAAGAACACCTCACTCTGGAAGATTTGCTAGGTTAGTCATCAGGGACTGGTGATTCTTCAGTGTTTGGGTTTGAACATCTGTGCATTCAACTATCTTAGGACTGAATTTGGACTTCTACCTCTTTTTGAAGGCACATTCCCCACCTTTAACAGCTGAATGGCAGTCAGGTGCAACATGGTTATCTCTGGGCTGGAAATAGCAGTACCTCTTCTATTTTTCCAGAGCATATGAGTGAGAATTTCATTTCAGTTTGGTTTTACTAAAAATTTACCAAAATGTGCATGTTTTCATATTTAGTACAGAAAGTAACTTATTTTCAAGATAAAAGATAACTTAAATTACCCTTTCATCCACCTCTATTATTTTCATATTTTACAGAATTAGTCACTTTTATACATCACCTAGCTCTAAGGCTGACCTTGTAATCTGAACATCTGAATGCATAGGATAACTTATAATAATGAATGAATGGAGAGTTTGCTGAAATAGAAACACAATTACAGCTGGTCCTCCATATCCACAGATTCTTCAATAATGGATTCAAGCATCCACGGCTTGAAAACATTAATATATATATATCTATATAATTCATTAAAGCGAACCTTGATTTTGCCATTTAATATAAAGGTCACCATTTTACTATCCATTATATTTAATGGGACTTGAACATCCACATATTTTGGTAACTATGGATCCAGCAACCAAACCTCAGCAGATACCAAGGGCCCACTGTAGTATGGCATTTCTAAGAGCATAAAC